AATGAAGGATGCTGTTTTGTCATAGTCAGTTGAACGTTTCCACGTGGCTGAAGAACTCAGGGTTACACACCAGCTGTTACTGCAGGATTAATGAATGGCATGTTCTGTTCACACAAACTGATATTAAGCTAAGTGACCACATAGAAAAAGGATCTTAATTAATAATTGGCTAAGGACTGAAGGCAAGGAAGTCAAAACTACAAGCATCCGGGGTCTTTCTTAGAAGGCATTTTATTTTAGACAGGAAAACTTCTACTCATTTGAGAATTATGACCGTAATATTTGCTCTTCTCAACCATTGTAATGAAGACATATAATAGTGGTAGTGCTTTAATTATTTTATGAGTGTTTAAGAAATTGAGCAGGGTTTCATGTGGAAGTAGGTTAATTTCCCAGGTCCATCACAGACGTTTTATATAATAGAGCCCAGTATAATAATCTTTGAAGTCAAGAAACATTTTCCATCAAATTCAGTGTTATTTAGACTAGACCTAACATCATAAAATTTGACCCCTAATTCTCATTCTTCACTTACCCTGGTGGTGAGGGAGGCAGAAATAGAAAAACAGAGCTAACAAAACTTGTTTGAGTGTGTGTGATCAACATAAATGAACAAAAGCTGTGTAGCCTTCCAATACTCAGTAAGTATTTGGACAGACAGCAGATAAAATCTTTTTAAAATTAGTGAGAATAAACTTTCTCTTTGCTTTTTGGCCAGTATAGTACATACTATTCATATGTGACACTGCTCTGTATTATGGAAAATGATCCGTGGTAGAACTTATACTAAATTGGATAAAGCTCTTAGTTTTAAAACATCATTTTAAAAAAAATATCACTAACTAGAAGGATACATGAAGCAGCACTGGGAAAAGGTTAATTTTTAATGCAGTTGGCATATTTGCTTTTATATACTAATTTACTGTATAGAATATTTATAAAGGATGGAACTTAGCATAAACTCTCTTTTGTGATAAATCTTTTAAGAGAATGACAGTGAGGTTCATATGCAGAAATTCAGAAAGAATAGGGAATATGATTTCCTGAGATGATTTTTCACTGAACTGTTAAATTTGAAATCAAGCAATCTTATGAGAAATGCTACAGAGTAGAGCAAGGCCAGATTCTCAGACACTGCCCAGAAATGACAATTAAAGTCAGTGGAAGTCAATTAATAAAATCCCCATTGGAACCTGATGCAAAAATGCCTCACCTCTGAAAAGTCAGTGCTATCAACCCCTTTTGCATCCTGCATTGCTGTTTTCTCCTAGTATCTCTTTGCATATATCCCTATAGGTAATACGAAACAGAGAGTCTGTGCCCAAAATTAGTAATAGTGGACCTCTGTGATGTCTAGACTAAATTCGTGGCTAAAAATTTGGAGTAAATACAAGTGGCTGGTGCCAGAACAGATCTCTGATAGCACCAATGGTTTGCCATCCCTGGGACAAGGGGGTAGTTTCTTTGTAGCTGGGAGCACATTGGGTATTGTTGGAGGCTTTGAGACATGAACAGGGGTGGCTTGAAGGGGGTGGTCTTGCAGCCTGTTAAAGCCAGTGCTCAAGGGGACAACTAAATCTGGGCTTTTTGATCTCCTGAGAATAGAACCCAGATTTTCAGGAATGAATTAAAAAAAGATAAACTGAAAGAATTTAGGGGAACTTTCCAACTTGTAGAGGCTGAAAAGACATCGGTGCCACAAACCCAGCTGTCATTATTTCCCAAATGTGGGATTAGTTTTTATTAGATTCTCTATTTCACATACTGCATCCATCTGTCTCCCATTCACTTCTTCTAATCCTTGAGAGCGAAATGAAATTGGAATATCCCTGAACTTTTTTAACTTTGAAATTGGAAGCTGAAGGTTCACTAGGTTGATTCCATGTTATAGGAGAAAGGACTTGCATAAACATGTTGTGATGATCCACAAACATTAAGGTCATTTGTTTCAAAGACAGACTTCTAGTTTGCATTTTTGCTGTCCACTTGTATATTCATGATCCAGATACTAGTTTAGAAGCTTGTCAAAGGTAACTTAAATAATTTCATTATTCATAAACAAAAGAAAAATAATTTAGGGACATTTTGGTAAGTTTATCCCATTCAGTCACCTTTAAATATATATTAATAGATTTTTACCATCGCTGCAATTGATTAAAGTTTAGTTATTTGACACACATTTAAAATATGAGAAAAATAATTATGAATGGTAAAGTATCTTATCCAGAAAGCAATTGTTCCATTAAGTCTTTCTCTTCAGTGAAGTATTAGGGTCCTAAAGCATCAAACCTGTGAAATTCTAACCACTGGTTCTCATCTGAGAAAAACACTCGGGCATGTGCTTACAGATGTCCTAAAATGTGACTGAGCTGAAAGCAGAATATTCAGCAACTAAAAGATACCGTCCTATTTAATGGTTGTTACTGATGCAAGAAAGAGACATCAAATTCATTCTAAAGTGTTACCTAAAAAAGAGTAGAAATAATTAATTCCTTTAATGCAATCGATAATAGGATTAATCCCAGAGAGGAAACATTTGCTGGAGTAAAGATGCATTACGTAATTCCACTGTAGTTTATGAATAAATGTTCACTTTGTTCTTATATAATTATCTATCAGGTTAGTCCTCAGAGCAAGCTTGAGGGATTTCAGAGACTTGAGAAAACCTGGGAGAAGCCGCCAGGGTTTTGGTGGAGGTCAGGTGTGGAAGAGGAAGTGAGGCCAGGAGGGTGTCTATTTGTCCTGGGAGAGATCATGCCTCTTTCTCTCTCCCTCTTTCTTTGGCTGAAGCAGCTGGATCTGCCAGCACAGGTGACACTGTTGCCTGATTTACCTTCTGGCTTGAGTTAGTTTTGGTAGCTCACCATTTTTGCAACGTGATCTACAAAATGCTTTTCTTACACGTGATTTGCACAAATCATGACTAAGGCAATACATTGCACTGAACTGACAAGAGATAACAAATGACACAAAGACAGGTAATCAGCCTGATTTTGTACTTGGCTGCACCAACAGGGTGATAAATTTGCTATGAGACATGCTTCTGCTGATAGTGAATTTCAGTTACAGAACTCATGCACTGGGATGAGAGAATTAGTAGCTTTATGGTGAGGACAAAGGCGGTAGCTAAAATCAGAGATTTCTTTTCACTAGCCCTATCCTGCAGAAATTTATTGCTTGATTTTTGATGTTACAGTTATTGTCTCTAAATCAAAAGAGAGATAAACACTGCTTTTGTTAATCTGAAAACCTAGAAATCTGCATTTGCTGGCATAGACCAATAAATATATACCTGACAAAAACTGGCTGAGCTCTTTAAATTGAGCTTGTTAAAATGAGATTTTTCAAGTCACCTGTCTGGGTTTTGTTGACATTTGGCAAACTCAGGGTTCAAAACTAGTTGTTTTACTCGGAGAATTATTTGTTAGATAATGGTATGATTTCTTTTCCTAACCTTACATGTCTCTGCTGCAGTGGTAGAGACGATTAGCTTTAATCTTGGAAGTAAAAGAACATTCCTATTATGCTTATTTCTCCCTACATCCAAACAAACAAAAGTGTCTCCATAAAGGATAAAAAAAATCTATTCATTTCATTTACAGGAATCTCAATTTCCTCTTTTTTACCAGCTCAAATATTAGTGAGGGTTAATGAAAACAAAACAGATGAAGCTCAGTATATTTTCATAAACTCTTCTCATGTTGCTCAGTCTCAATCTTTCTGTGGAAGTCAGCAATCAATTTACAAGCCTCCACCTAGAAGGTTCATAAGAAAAAGATTTTTAAAAATGGATAATTTTGTTTATTTATATATCCAATATTTCATAAATGGGAAGTGAAAGGAGGAGAGACAACATCATTCTCTTACTCAACTTGTTAGTCATTCACCATGAGCAAGAGCACGTTGGTTCAGCATTTCACGGGGAGAGGATAGTCTCACTAGTGAGAGAAGTGGATCAAAACCTACATGCTGCCAACACTTTTTCAGCTGTTCTGAGTCAAGCAAACTCCTGGAGATACAGAGGATTTCTCAAAAATAACTGCAGCTACTGTGAAAAATGTCTTAAACACATATTCAAAAATAATCCGCCCTTTGATGTGAGGGAAAATTTGTGTCTCTTCCCCTTCCCCCAGTTTTTACTCCTGTTCCTGTCATACGCTTTACCATGGGAGGAAAAAATCATCTCCTCACATGCTGAAATTAATGCAAGATTGGGTCTTGATTCTGAATATCTTAGATTGCACACAGTGCAAATTATCCAAAATGAGAGGCATGTAAGACTTGCACAGCTTCCCTCACCCATCAGTAGCTGACATCAGATATCACTTCTACAGGTAATTAGCACTCATCAGGGATAGATCAAAGTAGGAAGGCAGACTGGGATTATGCAAACTGCCTAGATGTGGAGAATAGTAAGAAGTCCTATTAGTTGGAGAGAAAACTATGATGGGAAGCTGGCAGGCTGGTGAGCAGGGATGCAGCTAAGGGAACACCCAGCCTTCCTCCATCAAGTCTCTGCTGGAGGATGAAACCAGATCAGCAATGCCATGGGATCACATGTGTCTGACAGCTGTAATTCACATCAATCAATGGGTCAAAGGCCCCAGCTCTCAAAGGACAGTTGGCAAACCCTACATAAAGTGTTGTTTCCACAACTGTTTTCCTGTATGTCCAAGTCATATGGATTAAGGTGTGGAAGTCTTAATGAGTATGGGAATGTAACACCACCTCCTAAAGGTACAGGCAGCAGGATTGAGAGAGATGCGTTCTATGTGCAGGTATGATGAAATTTCACACTACTAATGGGAAAGCTGTGGCTTTCTGCAAGTTCTGTCTTCTTAAAATCTTACATGTAACAAACATGTATTTATCTGTGTGAAAAATGAAAATGAAAAGATAGATTTAGACACCTGCTATTGCACTAATGGGTTTTGACATGAATTTAAAACATTCAATGTATTCATAATTACCCAAGGTAGAGTTAGTTAGCAGATTCTTACATTAAGAAGCCAGAAGGTAGGGGGTGATCATCCAGTCTATCTGCAATACAGGACAATGTAAAAAGTCTGAATTAATTTCTGTTTGAACTAGAACACCTTCATCAGTACATTTCAAGCTTATTTGTATTTAGCTTACAACACACATCTCCCTATTTTTCATCCATGGCAGTGTTCTACTATCATAGCAATTACTAAACTGATGTCAGATGAATAAACCTATAAAGAGACTTGATATCACTCTTACTCATTTAAATAAACTGAATAAAAAATATATTACAGGATCTTCACTTTCTCGTCAAGCTCCTATTGCATGATTTGGGGAGTAAATTGGAAAGCTAATCCAGAATTTACTCAATCACAGAATAGTTGGGGTTGGAAGGGACCTCTGAAGATCACCTGGTTCAATTCCACTGCTAAAGCAGGTTCCCCCAGAGCAGATTGCACAGGATCACATCCAGGAGGGTTTTTGGATATCTTCAGAGGATGAGACTTTCTGGGCAGCCTGTTCCAGTAAAGAAGTTCTTCTTCATATCCATTTACTCATTTACCCCTGAAATTATTATTTTACATTTACCACAGAAAACCTGATCAGCCCAGCGGATTTGATGATAAAGAATTTGTTCATGAGAACCAGACAGTGTAGGACTTTTATCCAAAATGAAAGGTATAGTTAAATAACCTTTCTTTGACTTTTTTTTTCTTTCTCTTTCCAAAGAGTACAACTTTGCATTTGTAATAGAGAATACATGCTTATCTATTTCTGGAACAGCTTGACTGTCCTGACAAAGTACCATTTGACCTCTTTTCTGGCTTTCTTTCCAAAAGTAAATATCCCATAATATTTGACACTGTTTACAAAAACATTACTGCAGTGCATTAGATTACATTATTCCTAGATGCAAGCTTTTAGATTTCCTTTTATAGGAACCCTAATTTTACCTCATGTAAGTAGGTATGCACCAAAGTCTTAGAGTAATTAGAGAGGAAAAGAAAAAAATTAGTTTTATAAAGTTAAGTCCTGAAAATAAGCTGAAGAACTACTGCCTTTTAGCTATCAATTGAATTCTCAGTGATGGTTGAAGCAGAGACAGGAATTAATTAAAACACCCAATTGATAGATACCTACAATAGCATGAAGGTCCAGCTGTGTCTGAGGGACCTTCCTGGTTCTATGGAAAGAGTGAGCTATTTCTTTTCCTAAAATGACTGCAATGATTTACAAAGACATATTTACCACAAAGCTCTTCATAAATTATCCTTATAATGACAAGTCAAGTGACTCTATGGTTTCACTATTTGAAAGGAGGTTTAAACAGATTTGGTTTGTAAAGCAAATCTGTTCCTTAGTGAACAGGAAAGAGAATTTTCCCTGTCCTTCCAGTTCTTCACCTTCATTTCCCTGTATGATCTCATATTTGCCTGAAACAAGTCCTTTGATATATTTAGGGAATTCAGGATGGTTTGATTTTCAGTTATTGCTTGAATCTTAAATTATTCTTAGAACAGCACTGTATCAAACAATCCCAATAGGGTTTGCACTGTGCAAATGAAGGGTGCTGTCAGAATACACTCCCCTGTATTAGGTATCCTCATGGCACTCTGTTGTCTTGCATGTCTGACTCTTATGAGGCAAGAAATGTGTTAGGCTGTTAACTTAAAGGAGAAATTATTTGGACAGAGGTAGGCAGAAAAAGACAAAAAAAAACCCCAAAAAAACAAACAGAAAAAGTGGGGGGGAAAAAGAGAACAGGGAAGTTTTTGTAACTGACTGATACAAAGAGAGGAATAAGTATAGGTTTTTTTGTTTAAAAGCAAGCCCAGGTGTTGAAGCTTACAAGTGCGATGATGAATGAATACAGCAGATGCTGTCTATGTGAACATAGTCTATATGTTCACTTTTTCTTTTCCTATCTTTTCAGCACAGGCACAGCACATCTATGTGTTTTAAATGGGTCAGAGCTCCATTGCACCTTATATATATTAAAAAAATATCTCCCAGGACACAGGTAGCCGACTTCTGGTAACAACTTTCTCCCAAAGATGACTTGATTGAAAGTGATAAAAAATATCCTTTGAAACTGCCCTTTTACTGAAATTTGACTTTAAATACCATAGAAATTTTCCTAATAAATAAATAAAACCTCTGCTTGATGGAAGTTTTTTGTTTTGTTCTTTTTAATTTCAAATGTTACCTGGTTTGCTTTTGTTTTTTAAAAAGTTAGGGGGAGAAATACAAAGAAATATGTAAAAACACCACAGAAACCATGATTTTAGAATATTTTCAAGGAGAAAAAAATATTGTTCTATCAGTTTCACAAATCACCAGATGGTTTAAAATCAAAACACCCCTGACTACAACCAAACTTTCCATGACATCTAGGAGTCTAGACGAAAAGCTGCAGATAACGCTGCTTTCCTTCATATTTGTCTAATACAAACACAGTATCTTCGCAACAAACAGACGTGTCTATACCCAAGTGTATAATCAAATGGTTCTGTTTCTTAAGAACACTAACTTGTTATATGCCACTGTCAACAAGGTAAATTGAAATTTGAAGGACAAAGAGTTTTAGGTGAATGCCTGATGTGCACTGGCTTTCATGGGGTGCCCTACCTGCTTCATTGAAAACCAATGACACAATCACAACGAGCAAAAAAAATTCACTGACCTAACTGCACTTAAAATGTGGTTATTTCATTTAACCTACTTCAAAGGCTGGTACTGAGCCTGAGTATTGTAGCAGGCTAAATACCAATCATTCACAACTGTATTGTTCTGTATCTCTGGGGATGGATGAGAAGATTTTTATTGAAGTTCTAGGCAGTCATGAAGAATTGTAAGCTGACATCTAGTGCAGGTATTTACCCGATTTCTCATCTATCAGGAAAACCAAAACTGCTCTCTGCTGTCCACTGGTACGTATAAGCAAGGCATGGGCTGGTGAGGAACATAACAGTGGTGGGCAGTGCTGACACAACTCTCAATCTTGTGAAACTCCATTTTTTACTCTCTTTCCTTAAAAAAAGAAACTGCCTAAGGCTAACCATGGTGAAGACAAGCCTCTCAGTGTGAGCTGGAGATAAAAGGTGTAATGTTTTTTGTGTATCTGCGGAGAGCTGGACAATAACTCTTGAGTGAACTGCACCATTTGTTTCAATGAGGAGTTAATTCAGACACCCAGGGATAACAATTTATTGTGACAACCTCATTTTTCTCTCAGATCGTAGTCTCTCTCATGCAGAGTCTCTCATCCTACCCTTCAGCTCTCTGCTATCTGAGTGCCTTCCTACCCAGTAAGTAATTCCTGATGGCACAGTCCAGTCACTCTCTGTTCCACTCTTCCAGGGTGAGAAGCATTTCCACACTGCCATGCCAGCTGCTAAAGTGCTATGGTTTGAATATGTTCATACATCACCCCAGCCATCACATCAAATTTACAGTACCATTTAAGAAATCAGTGTGTGCTAAGCCTGTGCATCCTTTTGAACCAGACACAACGTCACAGCAGGGAAGCAATGGCTGTTGAACCCACCTCACACCTGTAAAGAACTGTGTGAAGGCTCCTGACCCCTCCACAATAAAGACAAATGACTGAGTTAAAATCCTTTTCAACAAAGCCTTGTTGAACTCTGAGTACTGTGATGGATGCACAGACATTCTTCGGGACTCAGAAGCCTGTCCTGAACTCTTGCAGTCACTATGAGACAACTTCCTCACCAGTTTCTAAGCTGTGGGTGACTGCAAAAATGCTTTCACTGTAAAGTCAAACAGCATAATTTAGCTTAATGTTAAGGATGCTTTAAGATGGGTTGAGCAACCTAGCACAAGGCAGAAAATATCTGAGACTGAACTAAAACATCTTTGGTCTGGAACACCAACTAGAAGATGAGTGGATTGTTTTGCCTTGTTGGTTTTGGGGGTTTTTTTGTGTTTGCTTTTGTTTGTGTTTTTTTCCCCCCCCCCAGGCACCTGCAGGTCTTACTAACTAGCCAAACACTTCTATTGTGTCTTGGAGAACAGTAAAACAAGTTAAAATAAACTGATTTCACTAGGGTTTAAACCAACTGTATTTTGTCCTGGAAGGTGCACACGCTCTTCTCTCTCCAGACATGCAAATGGCTATTTGCTGAGCACTACACATTATGGAAAGACGGTATGGAGCTCTACCTGTGCTATATCTAGACATTTGTAACAGGTGTGAAAACAGTTCAGACATGACCACAAGTCAGGTGATTACACTTGCATGGGCTCGGGATGGTACCAACATAAATTGGTAGATGTATTTTGTTTTCTTTATAGACAGGCTGCATCCATGCACTGTACTTTGGGAAGGAGATAACCCTCACTAGGGAAATAGAAGAGGTTGTTTAAAGAAACCTCACCATGGAATACCTTTAAGCTACAGACAAAGTCCTAGAAATGACAACCAAGCCTGGAGAGATCAGTATGAACATTGTGCTTCTCACTGGTGGGGAACCAAGGAGACATCAAGAAGCCAGGACAGCTCTCCTTTATAACTCTGCATGATATGCCCTGAAGAGTCCGGGGAAGTAATGGCTGGAAGCAGGTGAAGTATCCCTAATGTCTCTTCCACAGATTGTTCCCTTGTAGCCTGTGCAGAGCTCTACCTTTTTCTTGTCCTTATGACAACAGTGTATTTCTTTTCAGTGGTAAAAATGGGAATATGTATTTTTAATATACTTTTTTTTTCCTCCTTGGCAACTACAGATTGAGAAATGCAGAAAAGAGAATAAGGTCTTACCCCTCTAAGGCCTTTGAAGAAAATGGCTTTTAGAAAGACCACACTCCACTCACTAATTGTCTAGTATTTTCTCAAGGTCTAGCAAAGGGCTTGAATCAATAATAAGTTGCACACAACAATCTAGACAGGTTAACTAGACTTAGAATTCCTGTCAAAGTACATGACATTAATTAACATTATGAAAGCAAAATAATAGAACTACCCCATAAAAACTGCATTAGAAAGGAGATAGAATGACACAGGTCATGTTAACTTAGTGCAAAAGGGAAAGGAGGGGGTAGCATTTTTTTCTGGTGAGAATTAGGAAACTATATAGTTCAGAGGCTATAAAGAGACCTGAAATTACTCAGATCAGAGGCCTCAGGTGGTCCCACATAGGCAAACTTGTGGACTCAGGTGAAATTCCACTGAGAAATGGTGGAATGTTAATTAATGTTAGATTCAGATGGGCTAAATCCAGTTGCAAGAGTTGGGTTTTGATGTTTACTTTGCTTTTAAAAAGAAAGAAGAGAGGAAAAGAAAGACAGAAAGGACAATACATAACATAAGGAAGAAATAACTAAAAGAAACAAGCAAGGTGGAAGAGACGTTCATCCTAGCAGGGCCTACGCCTGCCTTCCTGTTTTCCTGTGTCACTAGTGGATGATCATGAACCAGCTGGAAGAAAGGAAACAGGAAGGGGAAAGAGGGAGAAACTGTACCTTGAAGGTGTATAGGATTGCTGTTGTTGTGTGTGCTACTGTCAATGCCACTGATAGAGTGAAGTACTCACGTTAAGGAAAAGCAGCAGTATCAAAGCATGTCCTTGGCCACACCAGGACTCAATCCTGCCTTATGTTGGAGTGACCTGTTTCCTGATCTACTGCTATGACCTTGCTGCTGATTTATGTCTTCTTGCCTGAGACAGTACAAGGAGTCATAAAATTTTTTTTCAATTCTATATTGCTACCATCAATAGCTCCTCTTTGAATGTGCTCTGCAAGCCTGTGAAATAGAAGAACCCCCAGGCCTCTTGACCCCTTATATTATTTTCTCTTCTATCTTTTTGTGCCACATAGGAACTATAAAAGAATAAAAACTCAGCAAACTCTCCTACCGATTCATGATGCACTTTAAGTACACTTTTACAGCAAGTTTAATGTTAATGAGCACCAATTACACTTGGAAATCATCATAAAAGGCATAAAAAGGCTGATATTGTGTATTTGATATCCTCTGGAGGCTATCTCCAAGATGGAAGTGTAGTTTTGAGAAGCATAAACAAATTCCCTCTGTGAGAGGATAATTTCTGAGTACATGCTGATTTTATAGTTTTGGGTATGCATCACATTTACGGGCCAGACTACTACTCATCTTTGAGAGATGGAATTTGCACCCTTCTGTAACAACAAAACAAACAAACAAAA